CCACTGGTTCACAGATGGTGTAGAGTGAGTAAAAGTGAAAAAACTAAAAACTGAACCAGATTACTGATCATCTCACGCTTTACACCACTGCATCCCACGTTTTGCATTGCACTTGGTGATGTAAGGCTTGGATGCAGCTGCTCGGCGATGGAAACCTATTCCATGAAGCTCTACGCCCTGTTCTTGAGCTAATCCGAAGGCCACGCGAAGTTTGGAGGTCTGTAGCTATTGACTGCAGAAAGTTGGCGTTTTCTGCACACTGTGCGCCACCGCTCTGTGATTTTACGTGGTCAACCAAATTGTGGCTGAGTTTCTGTTGTTCCCAATTGACCCTTTGCAGGTAGTTTGATTGACAGGCGATCTGACCAATCATAATCCGCCGAATCCGCCATTTTTGTCCGACAAAGCAGTCAGGAGAGTTAGTAGATTAACATGGGAGGATTTGAACTTGAAAAACGGTGTGTACTGACGTCTTTCCACGAATGAAACAACATTCCTTCTGATGTTCATTCATGTTTTTTTAATGCTATAAATTAACTAGAAGGAAGAGATGATCAGTTCACAAGCAGCTTTAACTTAGGCTCTACAGCGATCTGTCAGACACATTAAAGAGCCACAAAACAGTATTTATTGTTTTAATTTCTTTATTTCTCAAATTTGAAAGTTGAGACTTTCAAACCTGGCCTGTCCTGTCTGTCAGCGCATTGTCAGTGTCCTCTCTGCTTCGCGATGTAGCGGCGTGGCTTGTCGGACATGGCAACAGTAACTAAAGGGGTCGGGTCTTTGCAAATGGTCAATTGCTTCCACTTTGTTATAATACTACTAACAGTTGACCGTGGAATATTTAGATCATGAATGGACTTATTGCCCAGGTGGCAACCTATCACGGTACCACACTTGAATTCACTGAGCTCCTGAGAGCGACCCATTCTTTCACACATGTTTGTAGAAGCGTCTGCATGCCTAGTGCTTGAGTTTATACAACTGTGATTGGAACACCTGAATTCAATGATTTGGAGGGGTGTCCCGGCCTTTCTGTTGATGTGGACTTGTTAGCTAAATCAGTACATGCAATATAAGTTATTTAAGCATTTACAGATACTTCCTCCAAAGGACAGTCAACTGAGAGGGCTTCTGCAATGAACACAAAGGAGTATTACAAACTATCGCACGTTTTACCCTTTTGATGACCCTCAGGAGGACTTCTAAGCTGTTAGGAACTAATTTTAGCGATACAAGGCTTTGTTCATTACTCTTACATGAAGGTGGTCTGTTTTGTATCTCTATCGTGGGATCAAACAACCTCTGGCGTTAACTCATGATTTTCTTCGTGCGAGTCACGATGTGTTGTCTTTTCAAACATGAGTCTTGGGTTAACTGCCTAACATTGACAAGTTCTTCCTTTAGCTAGGATCATCTCTTGCAAGCTTGCATGGTCATAAAGTACTTAGCTAGGGGTTTCTAGACTGAATGGCGTCCCAAATGGAAGATCATCTGATTTAGGGTCCGGAGTTCGTTAGTTGGCTCAGACTATTTGAACGAATCATGTCTGTCCGATCTGGGGTGTGTTTCCCGTACAACAACGTAACTCGCTGTTTCACTACCATAGTACGATGCATTGTTGAAGAACTTAATATGGACTGAAAGACTGAAGGACTCTGGAGTATTGTTGTTTTATGTTATGACAAGGACAATACTTGTTGTTAATGTTTTTTTCTTCAAGCATTTAATAAAATAAAAAACGATGTGATAATAAAAAAAAAAAATGATGCATCGTTGAAGAAATGAACTAGCTAGTCACGACTGTTTCCCAAAACCATATTATTGCAAAGTGGTCGTTCAACCACGTCGGTTTATGATGTCACTTTCGGGAAACGCACCCCTGCTCAGTTCCTACACTGATGACATTTACTGGCGTGAGGGCGGGACAAAACTGACACTCAAATGAGATTGCAGCATTAGCAATATCGCAAGAAATAAAAGACTACCGCAATGTCCGTTTCATGCAGAATTTTTAATCCAGAGATAAAAATAGTAATAAAAAGCAGAACTATAGCCAGCTGAAAATATGACATCCAAAAATTTTAGGATGTTCAGAAAATGTACAATTTCTCACAAAATGAAACAATTGCACTCCTTTTTCTCAGACAGAGAGTGAATTTTAATGAGCATGTGCTGAATGAGTTATATACAGTCTGTTGAGTCTTATAACGCATGTTTGTGGAAGAATCAACCTAAACTTAATACAAAATCTAAAATAATGACATCAAGAATGTTCAATGGAGTGATTTATGAAAACATACATCAAGGTCATATTTAACCAATACCAAATGATAATGTAAACAATTATATTTTGCCCAATGAAAAAGTAAAATCATGTGGACAGTAAATATAAAAAGAAATGTGATGTAAACATATCTAACCAATGACACCAACATATTTGCTTTATTTCAGTTGATTTGCTGTTAGTCTTCAGGATTTATCATTGAACCAAACTTAATGATAATTAGCTACATATAGTCATGTTTTTTAGTTAATCAAATGTTTATATCAATCCATTAATCCCATCATTACTCCTTTTTCTTACTTGACAAAATAAGGCAAACTAAAAATGCACCAGTACAGAGTAGGACAAAACTTAAAATGGCACTTTCTTACATTTTTATCATCAAAAAGGGTCACTTGAGAAAATTACTACAGTACAACAAAGAAATTAAACTGATTCTAGTGATATTTTTTGTAATAAAATAGACATATCCAGATAGTAACTGTCTTTGAATCGCTTTATCTGCAACACTTCTTGATTCAATGAAACTTGAAGCCATTAACAAGGACCTTCTACTCCGACAGATTCACAGAGGAAAATGCAGAATGGAATAGTTTGTCAGTAAAACAAACATTAACCCTGAAGAGGTACATATGTATACAGTATAGCTTATGAACCACACTGAACTTTCAACATAGAGTAAATCAAACCTCAAAACAGAAGAAAGAAAACTCCAGAGCAGATATTTTACAATTCAACAAATATGTTTAGACATTCAAAAACATATAACATTGAAAGTATCATTATACACACTGAAGCTAGAAAATGTTAGATATTTTAATTATTTGAAAACTCTTATTAAAAATGTTCATTTTTAAATAAACATATATCATTGTATAAAATCTAAAAGAGAATGTCTGTCAAGTTGCTTTAAAAAAAAAAAAAAAAAAAACATTGTAAGAAGCCTCACCACAATGCCAACATACAGTATAATTCCTTCCAAGAAAAAGAAAAGCAACATTATTTAAACCAATGCTTTTTGTCTTCTTTATATGCAGATTGCAACTACACAGCTTCCTAGGTGATAAATCAAAACTGGAATGTATCTGTGCATTACAAATATCAATTGAAATGAATCTCCAAGTGCAGTTAAACTTTGATCTCACTGGTCCATTTTCCCATATTGTGACAGCTTAGTAATATTTTACAAAAAATATTTCATTTTGAAGTAATTTGAATAGATAGTGGCTACTTGTAGACAGTCAATTTTCAAGTCCATTGCAAACTAAAGGTCCACTTTATTCATTAAAATAGATTTTACTTTCTCTGTTATCAGTCATCAGAGTTTGTGAAATGTCCCACAGAGCTTAACACAGTTATTTTACGTCCCATCTGCATCACTGGGATTTTTGGATTCTCTCAGTGCTCTTCTCTTTGTTCAGGGTGACTCTTCCTAAGGATGAACATGCAAATACAGGTTTAGTCAGCAAAGAAATTAAGTTAAAGTAATAAAGTTCATAGACACGAGAGACCAAAAAAACGTAGCGATTTACAAACGAGGGATGTGATTAAAAAAAATGAAAGCCCCTTTGAGGAACTGGCAAACCAAAGTGTGTTTTTCTAACAGTATTATAAAAATGAGAGACAGCTGTAATTTAAACCTTTATTGTGTTAACCATTCTACCCGAGTCTAAAACTGACAGAAGGAACGTCTACTGCTGTAAGACACTTTGGATCCAAGATCTGCACAAATTGTGGTTAACATTACTAAACAGGGCAAATTAGCGCCGATGGGAATGAAAAGTTCTGCGCGTGATCTACTGCACATTAAACAACACAGACGCAGCCAGATCATTTCCATAATGACCAACTCAATCTACCAAGAGCAGCGCAAATCAGCATCTGGTTTAAACCACACACCAAGAACAATAACTATGAAGATAACTATATTATCTCGTTCTGTTTATTATAAGCGTGTGCTTGTCTGTCACTTTAAATGCTCGAGCTCGTTACAGCAAGATGGATTCTGATTGGCTGTCAATATTTGTATCATTCATCAGCTGGATAAAATCGTTCTGAAAGTGATTCCAACGATATTGTTTCTCTGTGCCGTTATCGTTATAGCTGTGGTGTGAACTCTGCTATTCTTTAATATTGAGAAAGATTTTTAGAACTATATCTTTATCGGGCCTTACGACATGCTTTTTGCGCAGTAAATAATGCTGCAAATACCAGTAAATTGACTAGCACAAACCTTAGTAAATCACTTTGCATGATTCATTTAAATACTGTCCTCCCATAAATTTTGCGTCTGAAAGGGAAACTCCTACAAATGCATATGCAATAAGGTCAGCCGCAAAATTAACCCTGCCCACGCCTTTTCAGCACTAATTTTTCACTGCTTGTCTTAAGTAAACCCTGACAGTAGTTTTTTAACGCAAAAAGAAGGTTTGCGCTGGAGTAAGCTGTTCGTAAATCTGGCCCTAAGAGGCAATAGCTTGACCTGAAGACTGCCACCTTTCTTGCGGGTGTTCAATCCTGCTCTATTGGGGGCCAGTGTCCTGAAGAGATTAGCCCCAACACACTCGCCTAGAAGGTTTAAAGACTTTGATTAGCTGGTTCAAGTGTGTTTAATTAAGACTGAAGATAAACTCTGCAAGACAGTGACCCTCCAGGAGGAGGACTGGAAACCCATATATTATTTTGAAGGAAGTGAGCAAGAGAGGAAACCAACCCTGAAGACATCTCTCTTAGGCGTCTAGCTGTGAAGTGTCTGGAAGGCTTATCTGAGCTTCTGGTGGCATCTCATCAGTGCTGAGAGTTTGAGCACAGGCCTCCTGTGAGACAGAGAATGAGATGATTGATTAAAAACATTAGAGTATTAGTTGAGTATTAGTAGACTATTAAAAGTTGACATGTAGTTCCAAAGTTACTTATAGTCAGTACAGTAGAATGTCTGTTGGAGGAGCATCACAATAAAGAGTTAGCAGATATTAAGCAGAGAGTCTACTAATACTCCAATGAGAGTTAGTTGACATGTAGTTGCAACTTTACTCATTGTCAACAGAATGTCTAAAGTCCAAAAAATCTCTTGTGATTCAAACATAACCATTACCAAAACTTCTGTCTGATTGACTGAGCTGTCTTCTGCAGCCAGTAATGGCTCTGTTGAAGGGGACGTGGTTTCCTGCTCAGGACCAGGAGTAGCACCTATGGAAAGGGAATCGAAATGAGTAAGAATAATGCAAGTCACATGATAAATCTCAATCGTTGGCCGTAGTGTTTTGAACTCACAAGAGTCAGTTGGGGATGGTGGTATCGATGACCCTGAAGTCAATTTCATCTGTGAAAAGTCAAGCTCAGCAGCGCAGTCCATGATCTGTTTCCCAGAGGGCTGTGCAGTGTCTTGTTTGCTTGTGCAAATGTGAACAGCTATGGATTCCTCCTGGGGGTCCGTGTTTAGGGTGTGCTTAGAGTCTCCAGAGTGCTGAGGACTCATGATGTTGGACGAAGCCTCGGGAGGTTCACAGGAGTGAGGGCGCATGGCAGCAATGGGGACCAGACCCTGAAGCACTGCGGCTGGAATCGGATGGGACCCCATGCCAACTGTCTGGGCTGGGACGAATGCCCATTGCTGCTGGCCAGTTGCTGGAGAGTGGAAGAGGTTAGCCTGACCCCAAATCACAGGCTGGCCTCCAGGAAGCATCTGGGCCACCTGCAATGGGGCCTGAACACCGAAGGCCATTGGACCAGCCTGGGAGGCGAACGATTGTTGGGTCCAGTGAGCAGCCTGGATAGTACTCATGGTCATATAACCTGAGAAGCAAGAACAACCAGTTTCATTAATAGCACTGTTTTTAAATTGGCTGCACTTTGATGAAAAATGCATTTTACAGTGGAACGAAGTAACTCTCAATAGAAAATGGGATTTGCCGTGTTTGTTACCCGAGGGCACGGCCGGTGGGCTAAAATGCGTAAGGAGTTCTGGGCGGAGCTGCCGGCGTCTCCTTCCAGGATCCACTGTGGTAGCAGGCGACGCTGGCATCTGGGATGAATATTGATGTCATTTTTGATATTTGACTCTACAATAATTTACATTATTGTATCATAATACATTGCACGCTCAATAAAACATATTAGAGCATTAGAGATATCACAGTGATATTACAAGGAGAGCCAATCAGAAAACAATTATTTAAAATTATATAAACTATGTATATTCAGAATTTACATTTAAATGGGTCATCACGTTTTTATTTCAATATGTTCCATGAGGTTCACTGGTAATGTTAATTTTTGCACAAAAAACAAATAAATGCGTACAATTTTTTTTATTTTCAATTCTGACAGAGCTGAAATGGTCAGTTTTTAATGGGTATCTTCTCCTATAAGGCTAGTCAGTAAAGGGCCACTTTTATGATTGGCTAACATCATTCCATAGGGAACAGTATCACCGCCAACTAGCTATTGCATGCGAGTAAATTGTCCATATAAAACTAATTTACAGAAAATGTAATTACTTTACTAAAGTATGTACAGAGATGTAAACAAGCTGTTTAAACTGGACAATCAAAGCAAGCGTTCTTTCACTCTTCTATTTGTCCTGTTGTCAGCAGACTTGGGTGTGTGGATTACGTCTCGGTTAAAATAAATGCTCTGACTATAAAGCAGAGGACGTTTTAAGCTATAAAATGTGCAGGATGTTTTACAAAAACCTCTTATATGTCAGAAGAAAAATGTGACCACTTTAAAGGGATAGTTCACTTTGAAATTAATTTTTGGTATGTTTTAGCTTACCTCAAGGGCATCCAAGATGTAGGTGTCTTTGTTTCCGCAGTAGTTTCAATTTTGATATTTTTAGGTCAAACCGTTCTTGTCTGTCAGTCATATAATGCAGGTCTATGGTCACCACCTCAAAGAGCATGCACAGAGAAGTCCAAATTAAATGAAGTTCCTAAACGTAAGTTAGGGAGGAGCGAGCCCATCCAATCTTTCAATCAACAAACAGAGTATATAAGCAGCCGCTTACCTCTCCCTAGTATCAGCTGTTCCAGTATCCCTCCACCTCCCCAAACTCCACCTTCATCTTAGGTACCTTGCCCTTTAATTAACAGGTCCTACATTTAGCCACTGGGGGGTATATCAGAGCTCGAGTTGAAGCTGCTTCATCGAGCCCCTCTCCAGCGGACAGCAAGCCAAATAAGTTTAACCTAATATCTTAAAGATTTTATGGGCAAACGAACTCGTTAAACATGATTTAATGACTCGTAAATGTAAGTACACATTGATGGCCTAAGACACGAAACGAGCGGTTTGTGTGAGAAAACGAACAGTATTTATATCGTTTTTACCTTTTGTAACCACAGCCACGTCCAAGTGATCTGAGGGCGCCGGCGCTTCGGTCTTTTCCGGAAAGTGCCGGAAGTGATCTCTCGCGCGTGTACGTCACTCATACAATTGTTTTATTTTTAATTTTTTTAATTGTTTTCTTTTACTATGGTTTAAACATCCCAGATAAGCGCAAATTAGTACCATTTTAATTAGCCGTCTTACCTACTATCTCTGTTCTGTGTAAACAATGAGTGACGTACACGCGCGAGAGATCACTTCCGGCGCTTTCCGGAAAAGACCGAAGCGCCCGCGCCCTCAGATCACTTGGACGTAGCTGTGTTTACAAAAGGTAAAAACGATATAAATACTGTTCGTTTTCTCACACAAACCGCTCGTTTCGTGTCTTAGGCCATCAATGTGTACTTACATTTACGAGTCATTAAATCATGTTTAATTTGGACTTTTCTGTGCATGCTCTTTGAGGTGGTGACCATAGACCTGCATTATATGACTGACAGACAAGAACGGTTTGACCTAAAAATATCAAAATTGAAACTACTGCGGAAACAAAGACACCTACATCTTGGATGCCCTTGAGGTAAGCTAAAACATACCAAAAATTAATTTCAAAGTGAACTATCCCTTTAATGTCATGAGCCCTTTAAATTTATTCTGACTTGTAACTATATATGACTGGAATTACAACAATTTCTTCAGATGTATAAATATATATTCAGTTTGACAACTATATATCAGATTTATTAATATACTGTATAGTCTCAGATTGTATATAATTAGGTCATCGCAAACTGGTGGTTTAGTGGGGGTGAGGTTCTTTTAGTCGTATTAACAAACATAAGTTGGGAACTATTAAAATATCTTTATGTATTGCATTAAGTGGGGTTGACCACAAGGTTGATGGTTCTCCTGGGGTTTACTTACTGAAAGGATGTCTGGGGGGGTGGCCATGTCACCGAAAAGATCAAACTGGCTTATATTCTGCAATACATTCAGGGAGAAAGATAAAGAAGATATACTGGAAGGCATTCTACAACACACAACTACAACTATCTGCATTAGTTCAAAGATTACGTTATGATTTTGAGTTAGTGTTCACTGAGGAGGGCAGTCCACAAATGGAATAGTTATTAATCAGTAAGTGGGTCGACAATGAAATTATGATTCAACACAGTAGAAATACAGTAACTACTACACATGCTATAGTGATTAACAGGGGAAGGCTTCAATGAAGACATTCGAAGGACACCGACAACTGAAGGGAATCAGCCGACAAACATTTAAAACAACGAAACTGAAGGTACAAGCAATGAGGCGGATGATCAATGACCGTTTAACCAGAACCCAATGTGTATGAAAAACATAAAACAAGAAAACCAACACAATGGTCATGTTGCAAATCACACCAGAAGACTCAAAGATTCAAGCAAGATCAATGTTTGGCGCGTGTGAGCAAACATTGCAGAAGCGTGACTGGTATTTATGCACAGATTAGCTCCAGGCACTCGATAGGCTCCGACTGAATGAACAGACAAGCAATAACACTCTGTGAAATGGATTGATAACAATCATTTAACATGGATTCATTCTGGTGAAAGCAATGCTCTGTTTTTGACTATCCTAGATCTGTCTCGGATTGTGCAATGTATGCGTGGATCTTAATTGATAAGATTGTTATAAAATAATAACCTCTAGAAATCCATCTTTCTGAAATTTTCAATCATATGACTGTTGTTGTTCAAGCCAATCATCATCTTTATTTCATTGGGTCCAAAAAACCTTTATTAAAAATACTTGTCATTAATGTAAGTTGCACCTTATTTCAATGGTCCAGTTCAGACATTCTACTAACTTTGTTGACATGTACTTGAAAGTTGCTTATAGTTAGTATAATATCTAAAGTGGACAATCGAAATAAAGTGTAACCATAATGCATTGCAATTGTCACATAAACCTTTTCTAAATCCATGCAGTGCATCCATTCTAGAGGTGAACCCCAAAAACAAACCTCTGTTTTATTCCCCCCTCATCCATTTCCCTCGTATAATGAAAGACTCGCATGGTGTGCAAGAACAAAGAAGTATTTTTAGTACAGTAATCGCTTTCAATTCGCTATGGGATTCAGAAATAATCCCTTGAGATCTTAAAGCGAAGAAGGGGGGAGGACACTGAGAGGTTTGTTTGATGGAGGAAAGGGACGAATGTTTGAGATATGAGAGAACCTACAGTCATAAGATGGTGTTTTGGAACATCATAGATCCCGTCTTTCTGATGACTTGTGGGGACCTAAAAATTATAGTGAATTAACAACACAAGGCTCCTGCACAAAAGGCTATGTGTATTGTAGGTATGTTAGAGCATCTGACAGATTATTGGATATTTTAAATGTTTAATTTGGGGAGACATTATTAGAGGAAATCTATTTTTAGATCCTCCCTTCTTTGTGATGCTATATCTGTAGAAGTGTGGGCGAAGAGGGGAGTGGCTCGAGGAAGTACCTGGTAAACGCTCTCCTCTGATTGGTGGAGGGGCTCGTGTCCAGCTTCAAACACAATGTACTACAAGGAGTTGGGAAAGAAAATGAGAAAGGCCCCATATGGAACCAATCAGACAGAGACAACACTAAGAACATTCAATGATGACTCTTTATCCATAAAAAAAATTATTGTGTATCTTTATCCAGAACTGTAGGGTGGCCCTCTTTATTTCCACAGGATAGAAAATCAACAATATCTCGTCCATTTCTTAGTTATTTTTCTGTGGTTTCTCCTACTTCTCACAAAAAAGACCTCAGTAATCTCACAAGTCTCCCATTTTCAGAAGAGATGCCAGTCAGCAATCAAAGTCAGAAATCTCAATGTCAAATTTTCCTAAAGTGATCGGAGATGCTTCTCTATACTCTTAATGTATGTTTGTTAGTAATATCCCATTAATGTAATGGAGACATCTATCTACAAATATGAGAAGTTGATACTTTACCAACAATTTCATTAATACTGCCCACACACGACACACTGTTAGCCCTGATTGCAGTTAATAGAGATTGAAAGCTTGAAATCAGAGGCAAATCATGTCTAGTTCACATGAGTGATGTGTGAAGTGTCAAAGACATGATCTGAGAGATGCCCGACAGACATTTAGAAGTTGAATATCTAGACCTGCCTTTGATACAAATGCTTTGACTGGAACTGACATCGGCGCAAATTGAAAAGCAATCCAACAACTTTGGAAGTCGTGTAGCGTATGGGCAATCATTTTCTCTGATAATATAATACAATAATTATATAATTCAACGGGGAAAAACACTGGACTTTTTCCATCACAAACTGATGCAAATGCTTCAAAGCTTAACTAAACCAATTGTGAGAGCTTCTATCTTAGGGATTCTGTTTGGGGATCAAATGTGGATGTTAAAATGATGGTTAAAGTTGTCTGTATTCAGTGTGAGCGCGAGAGCACTGGGTTCAACACATCAGTGCATCCAGTGGGGCTGTTTATGACTCTCAGTAGAACACACACACACAACCACAAAACATGACTGCATATCAATACACTGCCAATGACAGGAGCTGAATGGTTAACAGAAGTCGTGTAAGCATCAAGTGCAAACAATATCAGCAACACTTAAATGGAGGAGTTAAATGAAAATAAAATCACATAGAATGCCAGTTCTTAATAAAATCAGATTAAGATTATGGTAACTGAGATTGACAATTACTCACCTGATAGACTGGATCATCAATCTCATCTTCCAGAATCGTCTGTGTCAGTCATTAAGAAAAACAGGCATTATTGGAAGTGGCATTTTTCTCAAAAACTTCATGGCCCCCAGAATATTGTGTGCAATCTGAACATGCAATAAATTAAAAGAAAGAACAGAGCCTCTGCTAAAAAAATGTTGCATTTTTTTAAATCAACACTTGAACCTGGGTAAATTTCATAAAAAAAAACATCATTTTGAACTAAAAGCTGAGGAAATCGTGTTTTTGTCAAAGATTTCGTCCACAGATGAAGTAGATCGAGATCATCAACACCCCTCAAAGTTTCACAGTCGTTCCTCTTCATGGATTCGACATTTCATTCAGCAACGTTAGGGAGTTTTGATTTATATGTTGTTTAATGTTTGATGATCACGATATTTTACATGTGCGTAAGTAATCTTCTATCATTTGTTTCTGCTTCTTCACCTGCGTAACAGCGCCCCCTACCATATAACAGTGAAAACATGGATTGAAGACCATTTCTGTCAATGGCGGGGAAAGACTTAAAGTCCCGGTGTTGAAAATCAAGCTTTAAATGTTGTTTATGTGTCTATGTGGTGTTTTTAATATGCTTTAAGACAAACCATGTGTAAATTCATAAGTCGACAGCATTGCTGAGTATTTTCTGCTTAAAACTGCAGTGAACCAAAGACAGTCTCAAAAACACGGTGTGAAATCGCTGGTGTTTCTGACGTCACAAACGACCTTGTAACCAATCAGATCAACGTGTGATCGTCAACCAGTGGATCTCTGAGCTGAGTGAGTGAGTGGAGGCGGGGCATTTGCATATTCATAGGACCGCAAATACTAACATTTCAAGGGGAAAAACTCTTAAATATGTCTTTTTGGTGATCAAAGATTAGTTTTAAGGGATACAGTTGTTATCACAAATAAACAGTTTGTTTTTCCGCCTCTCTACAAAATCTTCAGTGACATAAGTGACGAAACTGAAAGATCCCACTATCTTCAGTAAAAGTTGTGCTGCTGTAAACATAATTTACAGGAAACTTATTCTTTAGTATTCTTAACATGTTGGTATACAGTCCTAACAGTGGGACAGTTGTTCAGCCTGCAGTCAAGTTAAAAGGAGTTGTAAACTTTGATAAATCTCTGAGCCATCTCAATAAGTTGGCCATGTATCACTGCGGCCCTACATAGATCAATCGTTCTGCAAAATGGATAGGTGGATATCAATAAGTTGTCAATGTTTTCTTTAAGGAATGTTTTACAGCAATTGTGTCCGAGGAAATGGTTGTTCAAAACACCCTCTGGAATGATCATAATTGAATTATATGTCTGTCATTTCTGGAAACCTCGTATGGCGTGAAGCTTATGGACAGCAGAAATACATTCAGAATTTTGCCAGAAAGAGTCATCAGCAATTAATAAATGACGTTTTTGACTTAGTTCGTGATCTTACCTGATAGATGGCTTGTTCACAGTGCTTGTCCTTCTGAGCCTTTTTCTGTGACTCCTCCCTCTGTTTGATGTCATAGACCAGGGTGAAAAGGTCACGCAGGTCCAGTATAACCGGCTCTGCCTACAAGAGGATAACTGAGGTTAAAGGAAATAGTCCCACTTTTAACAAGCAATATTAATTTAGGATTATTAACAACTAACCGAATGGCTTGTCTTGATTGCCACAAATTTGTGGTTGCCTTTTTTACCGCACACATAGCCAAAGGCGCGATGGTCCCTTGTGTCTTTGGCAATGTAGGAGATTTCGTGTACAGAGTGATGGTGTTGTAAGACCTGAGGATTGGGGATGTTATCACATCATTATATATGTAAGGAACAGTTACTAAAACAAGACCATTTTCATATTACAGGGTTTCATGTGAAATATATATATATATATTTTTTAAACAGCCTCTATTCACAAGTCCACTGGTTTTTTTTTTTTTTTTTTTTTATATTTTCTTTATTGGGTTTTTAACAGTAACAATTACAATCATCTTCCCATCCCATCCCCTCCCCCCTACAGCTTAAAAAAAAAAAAAAAAAAAAAAAAACTGGGGTATTTCCCAGCAGTGACAGTGAAGAAATTCAGTATTCCACGTTTGCATAGTCCACAAGTTTTCTTTAAGCATGAAAAGCTCGGCAGCAGTTATGAAACATATAATATGAAACATAGTCAATATGCAGAATATGACAAGAGAGACGAAAAGAATTGGCACATCTTCATAAAATATATAAATCACACTTTATAAAGCTACTTGTCCAGATAACAAAAATAATGATACAATAATAATAAAAATAGTAAGAATAATAATATAGTGGTTTCAACAGAAACTTATTAAATATATATATATATATATATATATATATATATATAAATAAAAAATAAAAAAACAGGCATACACATTACAAAAAATAAAAAATAATAAAAAAAAAATTATAATAATAATAATAAATAAAAAATAAAAAAAAACTTAAAAATGATATAACAAGGGGAAATTGAGGCAGATTATTCCATCATTGAGGCAGATTATTCCATCTTAGAGGCAGGGGAGCTCTTCAAAATATCTTATAAAGGGGGACCATGTGTCTTGAAACTTACGTTTCGAACCTCGAATCATGTATTTAATCTTTTCGAGTTGAATGTAAGACATCACTTCTTTCAACCAGCTTTTATGTGTGGGAGGGTCTGCCTTTTTCCACTGAAATAATATTAAACGCCTTGCCAGTAATGTTGTGAAGGCAATAACAGAACGAATATCTTTCCTGAGTTCTATACCCTCGGGAGCAACACCAAAAATGCACATTAAGGGATCTGGGTCAATCTGGATGCCATACATATTTTTATATGATTCGAAAATCCCTCTCCAAAATTCCTCCAATCTAGGACAGAGCCAGAACATATGGGCAGTTGTGGCAGGCGATTGCGAACACCAATTGCATGCAGGGCTAACATTCGGGTAAATCTTAGCTAGTCTGGAGTTAGTGAAATGAAGCCTATGAAGAACCTTAAATTGAACTAAGCCATGCCTCGCACAGGGTGAGGAGGAGTGCACCTGATTCAAAGCACCTTCCCATTCTCCATCTGTAATTTCTCTCCTTAAATCACTTTGCCAAGCTTTGCGGATCTCATCCAAGCTCTGTGGATCTATAGATGTTATAATAGAGTATATGCTTGAAATGAGTCCTCTACTATGCGGTTTCAGATTAAGCAATGTATCCATAGGCGAGGTAGGGGGTATTCCTGGAAATGGGGCAAAAACTTTCTTGATGAAACTCCTAATCTGCAAGAATCTAAAAAAGTGTGATCTTGGTAAGGCAAAATTACGTGCAAGCTCTTCAAAAGAGCAAAAAGTGTTATCAAAATATAAATCTCTTAGGAGCCTAATCCCCCTCTCCTCCCAGACACGAAAAGCAGAGTCCACATAAGATGGTGGGAATAGACAGTTAGAGACCATAGGACCTAGAATGGAAGCTGATTGCAGACCAAAATGTCTTCTAAATTGGGCCCAAATTTTTAAAGTATGAGTCAGTACAGGATTGGCGGCGGAGATATAATTTTTCCCCACCAGGGGGAGTGAAGAGCAAATTAGTGAGCTAAGTTTGAAGTTAGCACATGATTGTTCCATTTCCACCCATAAAGGGGTATTTTGAGGATCTACACTAGATAGCCAAAAGATTATTTTTTGAACGTTGCTTGCCCAATAATAAAATAAAAGATTAGGCAGCGCCATCCCTCCCTGACATTTTAATCTCTGCAAAAATGTCTTTCTAATACAAGGGGTCTTATTCCCCCACAGAAAGGAGGTGATTAGACTGTCCAGCTTAGTAAAAAATTCTTCCTAATAAAAACAGGTATATTCGAAAATAAATACAAAAACCTTGGTAAAACAGACATTTTGATCAGGTTTGTACGACCTGCTAAAGACAGGGGCAGAGAGGACCATTTCACAAAATCATTTTTACATCGATCCAAAAGTGGACAAAAATTGGCCTTAAACAAATTATTAAACGATCTTGTGACTTGCACACCCAAGTATTTGAACCCCTCACGTACTACTCTGAACGGGATAGAGGAAGAGTCTGTACAAGAGGCCGGGGTGATCGGGAAAAACTCACTCTTACTCAAGTTAAGCTTATAGCCAGATAACTTGCCAAACTCCTTTATTAGTGAAATAATTTGAGGTATTGAGGAGGTTGGGCTTGATACATATAATAAAACGTCATCTGCATACAATGAAATTTTATGCTCTGTACCATGCCGCGTAATACCTTTAAAATTTGCTGACTGACGGAGGGCCGCAGCCAAGGGTTCAATTGATAGGGCGAATAACAAGGGAGAGAGAGGACACCCTTGCCTGGTGCCTCGATGCAGAGAGAAGTATTCAGAGTATACATTGTTTGTGTGCACTGAAGCAGTCGGGGAGGTATATAACAATCTAATCCACGAGATTAAGTCTGCAGGAAAACCAAACTGTTTAAGAGTGTTAAAAAGGTATTCCCACTCTACTCTATCGAAGGCCTTTTCAGCGTCGAGGGAGATTACTGCTTCAAGTTCGCCTGGGGGAGAATTTGTGTATATTATATTATATAGTCGTCGTAGATTGTTAAATGGGTTACGGCCTCGAATAAATCCTGTTTGGTCAATCGAAATTATAGTAGGGACAATGGGTTCAAGGCGTAACGCAAGAATTTTGGATAAAATTTTAAAATCCGCATTCAGAAGAGAGATTGGTCTGTATGATTCGCAACGAGTAGGATCCTTACCCTCCTTTGGGATAAGAGAAATTGAGGCCTGTGTGAGCGTTGAGGGAAGAGTTCCTGTATTGAACGACTCATTATAAACAGCCACAAGAAGCGGGTCCAGTAAGGCTGTAAACTTCTTGTAAAATTCTATCGGGAATCCGTCAGGTCCCGGAGCTTTACTGCTCTGCATTGCCGCAATAGCCTGCGCGACTTCTGCTGCAGCCACAGGTCTGCCTAGGTCAGAGTTAAGGTCAGAATTAATAGTTGGTAAATCTATTTCTTTAAAGAAGGAATCTAAAATTGCAGAATCATTTGGGTACTCTGAAGTGTATAGGGCAGAATAAAAATGAACAAAACTGTCATTAATATCCTTCAGATTATGTACCATGGATCCAGATGGGGCCTTAATATGAGTTATCATTTTAGAATTATTTAATTGACGAGACTGAAAAGCCAATAATTTACTGGCTTTGTCCCCAAATTCATAAAATGTATGCCGCATTTTTAACAACCTCTTCTCTTCATGTGCAGTTGACAGCAAGTTATACTCGGACTGAAGACTTATTCTTTCTTTGTATAAGCGAGGGCAGGGAGAGATGGCGTACTGTTCATCTAACCTGTTAATAGCTTCTGAAATATTTCTGAGTTTAGAGAGTTCTTGCTTTTTAGCATAAGAGGAGAAAGAGATTATTTTGCCCCGCAAATACGCTTTCAATGCCTCCCATAATACAGATCTAGATATACCATGCCTGTCATTTAGCTCCAAATACATATTTATCTCTTTAGTTAGAAAAATAATGAATTCTTCATCTGCCAAAAGCAAAGTATTTAGTCTCCAGGGTTTAAAAGAAGAATGCTGAGTTGGTAAACTAAGCACAAAAGAGGAAGGAGCATGATCAGATATAACAATGCTATGATACCTACTAGATGAGACAAGGGGCATGATACTCTTATCCACTAAGAAAAAATCAATGCGACTATACGAGTGATGAACAGGAGAGAAAAAGGAGAATGTTCTGGAGGAAGGGAAAAGAAATCTCCAGGGGTCTAATAATCCAAATTGGTCACAGAAATGTTTAATGTTTATAGCTGCCTTAGAAGGCTGTATGACTCTAGAGGAGGATCTATCCAGTGCTGTGTTCAGAACGCAGTTAAAGTCCCCACCTATAATTAAAGCATAATCATCAGCAGGTCGGATAGATGTGAAGACTTTGCTGAAAAAATTGCTATCATCAAAGTTTGGGGCATAAATGTTAACAAGGATAACTTGTCTGTCGAGTAAGCGCCCTGTGACGATAACGTAGCGACCAGAGGAGTCACTAATAACCTTTTCACTGGTGAAAGAAATGCTCTTCTTAATAAGAATAGCAGTGCCTCTGCCTTTTGCATTAAAGCTCGAATGGAATACCTGTCCCCCCCAACTCCGCCTAAGTTTAATTACATCTGAGTTAAGAATATGGGTTTCTTGTAGAAAAACAATGTCTGCGCTTAATTGTCGCAAGTGAGAAAAAATCTTGTTTCTTTTAATGACATTGTTCATGCCTTTAACGTTCCATGTTATAAAATTTACATCACATTTATTAAAGTTGGACATGTTATCAGAAAGTAGTTGTAAATGAATAAGGCAAATATAGTGAATCTGTTACAACACAACGCATGAGCACCTTGACTCCGAACAACATATGCTGAGAAAAAGAGAAAGAAAAGAAAAAAAGAGGAAAAAAAAAAAAGAAACGAAAAGAGAAAAAAGAAAGAAAAGAAATAGAAAAAGAAAAAGAAAGAAAAAAGAAAAGAAAACCCATTGATTCCCCTCCCGCCCCCCTCCCTCAAACAACAAACATCTGCTGGTATACTACGAACCATAACTCACCAGCTCGTGTTCCTGCTCCTTGAAGCTAAGTTGCTATTGAAATAGCAAAAATAAGTGACATTTATATGAACAAAAGAGTGTGGATCAGTACAAACTTAAATGAGTCTCTTCGTTCTCATCACCCACTCGAGCCATACAGAACCTGCGCTCAGCGGGAACCAAGGTGGAGTCCCGTAGATCTACATTATCTGCAGTGATGTGAATTCCTACTCACTCGTTGAAGGGGGGACAATCCCCCTCACAAATTCCAAAGCCCGCTGCGGAGAATCAAAAAATTGTTTCGTTCCATCAATGCTGATCCGTAGACGCGCAGGGAAAAGGAGGCCGAATTCAATTCCCGCTCCTCTAAGCTCAGCCTTTACCTGGTTAAATGCCGCTCTCCGCTTTGCAACATCGGCGCTGACATCTGGGTAGAAGTGTATTCGCGATCCTTTGTATAACACCTGTCCCCTTTCTCGTGCCAAACGAAGAATCAGTTCCCTCATCTGGTAGTGATGCATTCGCACGATGAACGGCCTGGGGGCTTGATTAGCTTTCGGCGGGGGAGCTAGAGAGCGGTGAGCCCTGTCCACCTCCGGTTTTTTGGAGAAACACTGTTCACCGAATACCTCGAGTAACAGCGTTTCAATGAATGCAGAAGGATGAGAACCCTCGGAGCCCTCGGGGATACCGATCACACGAATATTGTTCCTCCTGGATCGATTTTCCAAGTCATCGAGTTTGGCCCTCAGTTTTTCATTATCTTTCGACAGCACTGAGCACATAGATTCCAGGGCAGTAACGCGACCATCCACGTCGGTAAGGGATTCTTCCACATCCTTCAGTTTCTGTTCTTGCTCTAGTAATGAAGTTTTCACCGCAGAGATAGATGATTTAAGCTCTGCAAGGATCTCCACTCTGAGCGCCGCTACCTCAGATCTAATCCCGCCAAGGAGTTCTCTGATATCATCCTGGCTCGAGGCGGCCTCGTCCACACTCGGCAAATCGCCAGCAACCTCAGTAATATCGGCCGTCTTTTTAGTGTTGTTTCTCGGCATGATTCTACTGAGGATCGCGAATAGTAGTTCAAACTATGTCACCCAATAAATGTTGAATAAGTCGTTAAATAATAAGAAACGCGAGGAGCAGAAAACTTTACGACTTCTCACGCCGCCATCTTACCGGCTCCACTGGTTTTTGATAAAGATGAAATTGAAGATTGAAAAAGACAGCACTTTCTGATTGCACTGTATAGCTGTGTTTGTGCATCACTGCCAGTAATGTAGGAAGCTTATCAAAATACATCATTAATATTCATCAGTCAATTCAACACGCAGGAAAGTCATTGAATTGACACTGAGGACAAATCAGTTTTGATTCAGCATCCTTCCGTCCTCTGTGGGTTTGCAGCGAGACTCGCCTGTGTCATACAGAGATTCACAATCTCCTTAAACGCAACAGAGATCGTTCCAAACTGTGAAGCCCACAAGGGGTTTTACAGCCATGTTTTTCATCCATCCCAAGCCTTTGATGTGCGTTGTGTGTGTACAGTGATTCTGTGAATGACCGATAGATAGCAGTGTAACCCAATGAGCTGAGACGTGGAAGGAGACTAGAAGTAGCTCAGTTCAGTCATGGAGTTTCAGATGATCCGTTTACATGCTCCCATGCTTTAAAAGATTGCTGTCTGGATTCAGTTCTTCCGTTATTCTTTAACACACCTTACAACATAACATTATGCCTTTTAAATGCCATGGCATGCATCAATTTGCATGTGCCAGAGCTTTATAGACAGTGTGTGTGTGTGTGTATGACTGGCCTGCAGTCCAGATTTGTCCTTATTGAAAACGAATAGCGCTAGCCTGACTTCGTCATATTCATATTCTAGTCAGATGTGAGTCTGATACTGCTCCATAGGGCTTTGATTATGAGGCGTGTCTTAACCGAACCAGGGGAAAAAAACTCTGCACTCAATTGGATAGACCTACAACCAATCAGAGCAACGGAGTAAGTCAACTACATAGTTGCATAGCATAGTTGTCAACAGAACTCAACTACACACACGCTAGAAGAAGTAGTAATTGATTCAGTAGTAATTGAGAAGTAGTAGAAGAGTGTTGCTTCTTTTACTTGGTCCTCTATGAGTGCGACCAAAGGAGAAACCACAACGACCACAGGGTTTTCATTGCGTCCCATCTTCTTAGTTACCATCGGAGCCAGCTGATAAAATAAACTTTTGCCGAATCCCGTAGGAAGGACGGCAAACACATCTTTCCGATCGACAAATGCCTTGATTGCAGTTCTCTGTTCATCTTTTAAAATGAATGCGCTGTCGATTTATTTTACAACAGACGCGATAGCGGGATCTCTACATCTCAGTTCTCCAGCTGCAGTCATCTCTGAGGGAAACCAGTTCAACCCAAGCGCTCTTTGATAACGGGATGATTACGTAACTGCAGATCATCTGTCCATCATCGAATAAAGCCCGCCCTGGCAATTTGATTTGACTAATTCTGAACTGATCATAATTACTCCTCAATGGATCGAGTCCAGACCGAACTTCCCAACCAAAAAAATGTTGTAGGCGGGGTTCGGGCTGGCATCCAGGCTAGAATAGTGCATCATGGAGAGGAGAAACAGACAACGACAGCCATGGGCTGTTGTGCAACTTAGATTTTGTATCAATAATGAATGGGTAAACTGGCAAAACTGCAACAACTAGTATCCTCAGGTCCCAAATGAGTACAATTGAAAAACGATAGGTGATGTAACAAACAGTGGTAAACATGCCTTCCTTTCCAACTGTTTTTTTTAGTGTTGCAGACATATCTACTTAAGTCATGAAAGTCTAGATGTAATCTTACATGTAATCGGCACGCAATCACATAATTTACAGCACGACACAAGCTGATTGGCCTCTGCTGATTCAGCAGCCAATGAGGTTCCTTGGTCAACATTTAAATAGCCTGGTTCAGCATTTTCTGTAAACTAGCCCATAAGTTCCTCTGAAACCCTCCACCTCCCCCAGCTCCACCTGCCTAGATCTGCTTCAGGATTTATGTTTGTGTATGCATATCATACATGCTCACAGCAGTGTGTCTGTGTATCTATTGGCAGTAGCAAGTCCATACTTGCTCTGCAGAAGAAAGTAGTTCCACATGAAAAAAATCCTGAAAAGCGCCCTAAAAGACTTGACCTGAACCCAGGATTGTGCTGTAGTGTTGAATATCAGCATGGCTGTGATTACCTGCTGTCTCCTATACAGATCAATCACAGTCATGCTGATATTCAGTACTTGCTTACATAATTGCCAGATATCAGGAAATTATTTTTTAGAATCAGAGCAGTGTTTACCTGGCACAACAACACTAATAAAACTAGAAAACTCTTACCCCGGATCTCTCATCATAAATCTTGATTCCACCAAAAGACACAGTTAGGAATATTCTCTGTTTGTGGTTTCCTTTTGATCGTGCCGAGGCAGCAATTCCCTGCAGCAATACACAGATAAAACATGAGCATGAGAAGAATTACAAGCAAGCAAGGATAAAAACGTAGTGTAAAGGTACTTTATCAGCAATATGTTGACAGACTTTGAATGGTGATGCTTTGTATATGGTACATAGTGTTCTGTTCTGCAGTTTGTAAGGTCACTCTTGTTACTCATTCAGCACTTTTGAAACTTTTAAACATTTGAAAGGGATGAGTCTAGTTTGCTATTTTCTCTGACTTCTGAGGACAGAAAAGAAACAGATTATTTTATTCACTCTGTTGAATTATTAAAAGCAATTCTAAACACATTGCATGGTCACTTGGAGCAGGTTTGAAACCTCGATCTGTCTCAAAGCAATGCTAAATGGCTTAGCTACACATAGAGTGTGCATTTAGAAAGTATTCAGACCCTTTAATATGTCCACATTTATCAACACTGAGTCTTCAACACTGAGACAAGACCGTAGGGAATACTTCAACTTATATCCAGCCGAGTCTTTACCTTTAGCTTCATCATGGAGTCCTGACACAGCTTGTCTCCACGTGTGGTCGTCACATCATCAATCCCAATCAGCTTGGCCTTGTACCTGATGCCATCGCCTCTGAAGCGCTGAACCAGGACCTGCTCGCTGCGATCCTGACCTACACAAACAGGAGAGATAGATGGAGTGAGTCTAATTCATTTAATCTGATGTATCATGTCACCTTTAACCCTTAGAGATAGTGTTATGCTGGGATATTTAGCATGCATATGTGCACATGGATCATTGTGTGGTAATGTGATAAACGCTTTGGTCACTATGACATTACTTTCTGACAATGTTTTGACAAATCTTCCTTTTTAAAATTAAAAAGTAAAATTCCTTTTTTATATATATCTTGGCTGACTAGGGACAATTTTCAACAACTACCGAATATTTTATTTGGTAAATGCTGATGGAAAAGAGATCTCAACTCTTTTAAACGCAGACCAGCTACAAAAGAACAGGTACTATGTGTCTTCCATAACAGATGTCATTGGCTATTTTTGTGGGGGGTGGGGAATCAAAAACCTTTACATGGGAAATTGGATGCTTTTGACAACATGGCAGAAGGAGGCGGTGGCCCTTTCCTTTATTTTCTGGACTATACAATCAAAAATCAGTTACATTTGGTGCAGTACACGTGATGTCAGCGGAGGTAGCTGTACTGGATTTTTTTTAAACGTGTGTAACGCCTTGTAGAAATATTGCAAGAAGCCCACGATAGCTCTGCACTACAACGGTGAGAGACTCAAACAGCTTCTTGAACAAAGCTTAACAGGCCATTTAGCCACAGTGTCCGTCGTTCTGAATAATTTCAATGAGATCACATCTCTTCTGACTGAAACTGATTCTGTAAAAGCTCATGGTCCAGAGCTGCGAATGAAAACCAATGAGAACCAACTCCCAAGTGCCTGTTTTTGTGAACCTTGTGCATGAAGTGCTGGCATTGTTGGATCCACCAAATAAGCTTCTGTAGAGAGAGGACACTGACCCTTTGACAGGTCTGGGCCTGTGTTTGTTTGGGCATTGTGGCCAGTTTAAAAGAGTGTGTGCAGAAACTTCGTTGTGATGAGTGATTTACAAAAGTGTGGGGGAAAGCCACGGCTGCTTAGTAGATCCACGACCCCAAAGCCGAGACACACAGCAAACAAGAAAATGGACAATTACTTTGTGGAAGAAATGACGGGTCAAAGAGAGGGTTACGTAGAAAAAGCACTTAAGAGACTGTACTACAGCACTGAGTGATTCATTTCTGGATCCTGAGACTGTGAAGCATATCATGGACCTGATACAATCACCAGCTGTTGATGCTGAGTTTGTTGAAAACACTTTTTGAGGTCGCAAAAGGAATCAAATTCAGTCACAAATACAGTTATAAACTCTAACAATAAATACCGTTTTGGCGCTTTTAAATGTGACAGATCGCTGTAGCGCCTCAGTTCAAATGGCACGTGATCTATCATCTCTCGTCACTAGCCTAGTTAATAGTAAATAAACACGAATGATCAATAGGTGTGTGTTGAAAGATACAGTAACTTACCGAAATGTATATGCCTCATACATACTGTATTATCGACCAATCAGTGTTTTTCAACCGCGGAAAGAGGTCAATAAAATAGCTGAAGTAGACTACAATGTCACATAACGTTACATTTACCTCAGGAAAGCCATTTCACGAGTTTACATGTTAATGAAATCAGATGTAATATTATAATGCGTATTTGGCTTGCTGTCCGGGGGGAGGGCTCCGAGCTCAGAATTCGGCCCGACCCCAGAGTACTCCCCCCATAACTTTAGAGATCATAGGTAACTATGAGCGGACCCAGCCGAATGTGGGGTGAAGGGGTGGTGGTGGGATGCTGAGAAATTAGTCATGAGACAGGAGGTAAGGGAAGGCTTTATTTATACTGGCTTCTTCTTGCGCTGATTGGATGATTACCTGAACATGCTCCTCCCGAACTTTGTTTACATAAAACTTCATTTCACGAGTTTACATGTTAATGAAATCAGATGTAATATTATAATGCGTATTTGGCTTGCTGTCCGGGGGGAGGGCTCCGAGCTCAGAATTCGGCCCGACCCCAGAGTACTCCCCAAAATGCCAGATAAACGAAGGACAGCGAGCGTAGAATTTAACCCCCCAAAAAGTGAAGGGTATGTATTTACCAAGGAACGAGCTTGCCTGTTCGACTGGGAAGGCTCTCGCAACGACCGACGGGAACTTGGATGCTCACGGCATCGGACGGATAAGCCCATTCTGCAGTTGAACTGACAGCTCGCTGACGCAAGAATTATGCGAGCGTGAATTTGTGGACGAGTTTAACCGTTCACCCGGGAGGGCTCTCGCAGCGTCCGACGGGAACTTATATGCTCACGGCATCGGACGGGTAAGCCTCGCCAGGTTGGACGGAGGGCGGCCGCTGGACTCGGTCGGGAGGGCTCGACCGGCGCTTCGAAGGGGGGCTGGGGCACGGGAAAGACCCCTCACGTCCCGACGAATGGGGAGCCCGCCTGGCGACACGAGCGCGGTCGTCCGGCGACGACTAAGACGGGCAGACTCTCACTGCAATTCGAACGGGAGGTTCAACCAGCGTTTGGAAGGGGGACGGAACCCGGCCTTCGAACGGGTGAGTCATCGCTGCGTGCGAACGGGGGAGTCTGCATATGATTGAAAAACGTACACTATGAATATTAAGCGAGCGTGCAAGCGGCGAGCCCAGATGTAATCGGAAGGTTTGGTGTAAACGGATGTAACTGAAATGAGGCGCAGCAGGTGATAATTATCATTAATTAGTTAGGGCTTGGTGAGCATTTCTGATGAAAAACCGGCTAGACCTAATATAGGTTTTGAAGGCATTCGATGACCAGCGACCGAGGGTTTTGATTTGTTGTTGGGAGAGACCTTTTTGAGCGGCTGTGGTAGCTGCTCCGATGCGGAATGAGTGGCTAGAGAAATGCTCTGCTGAGACGCCGGATTTGATGAGGACTGCTTTAAGATGCTTTTGGAACCAGAATCTCGTCGCTGGATGATTGGAGTCGTTAGTGAAAAGAGGGTCGAGTGGGGATTTGGACGAGGAACGTTTATACTGCAGGTAATTAAAAAGCGCATGGTACGGTTGGATGGGAGTTTGTAGATTGAAAATATAAACGAAGTGACCTCTTTTATCTCTGTCCGTTTTGCTTTGTTTAATGAAAAATGATATGGTTTCATTATCTACGATCTGGAGGTCTGAAATGGAGGGATGGATATTTGGGTCGAATAAGGAAGTAATGGTCAGTTCGGAACAGCGGAGGAAACCGAAGAATGCTAGGATGAACATAGCTTCTAATGTATATGCGGTGTTGATGGAGTGGTATCCAAGACGGAGTGATGAGATGCATCTGGTGAGTATATCGATTGTGATTGGTTGTCTGGTATCTGGGCGCGTGGGGCGGGATCTTTGGATTCCTTTAACTAGAAGGGACGTTTGGGAGTTATTTATTGCAGGTGTAGGTTTACCGTGGATTAATTTATGGAAGAATTGAATGCCGCTTAGATAGCTTTTAATGGATCCGGCTTGGAGACCTTTAATACTATGAAGATGAGATATGAATGAAGTAACTGTTAAAAGAGAAAATTCGGGAAACGACAGGTTGTGAGAGAGGTGGAATGATTTGAACGATTTCCATGCGGTGTAATAAGTTTGCAGGGTTCTGGGAGAGACGGCTTGGAGGATGGATTCGATGGACGTGTCCAGGAGGGATTTTAGCGGATGGTTTATGGGAAGATCAGCTGAAAATAAGGAGGTACTGGAGTTGGAGTGGGGTCTGCTTCTGGTGCCAGCATCCTGAACTTCTGAAAAGAGAAACGGGAGAGAGAGTCAGCAATTTGATTTTGAGCCCCTGGAACGTGACTTGCAGTTATTAAGAACTGGTCGCATGCGGAGATCCATATGAGGCGTCTGAGGAGTGGCATAAGCACAGGTGAGCGAGAACGACCTTTGTTGATACAGTGTACAGTTGCTTCGTTGTCGCAATGGATTTGGATGCTTTTGGTTGACCATTCTTTCCCCCATAGGGAAGCTGCGACGACGATTGGGTAGAGCTCGAAAAGGGCAGAGGAGGCTGAAGCCTGGGGTGTGTCCAGGAGCTGAGGGGGCCAGGGAGACGCGAACCAGCGTCCTTGGTAATAGCCGCCGAAGCCGATCGAGGGAGCTGCGTCTGTGAACAGTTTGATATCGAGGGGGAGAGAGATAAAGTCGTCGTAAAAAAAAGTTAAGCCGTTCCACTGATTGAGGAAATTAATCCATAATTTTAGCTCGTTTTTTGACTCGTCAGAAAGGATGATCCGATCTTCCAGCCCATGAACAGATGAAGAGAGGGCTAGGAGATGCGCGATAAAGGGTCGGCCCTGTGGAATAATGCGCATCGCATAATTTAGGTGGCCCAGCAGCGAGAGAAGTTCGCGTTTTGAACAATCTGTGCTGTCTGTAAAATTGGATGCGATTAAAATGATGCGATCGATTTTTTCCTTAGGCAGTGAGGCCTGGAATTTTGCTGAGTCCAGATTGATGCCCAAGAACTCGATGGATGTAGTTGGACCCGATGTTTTCTCGTGGGCTAACGGAATCCCTAGTTCGGCGAAAACTTTTTTCACTATGAGGAGGTGAGCCTCGGGGATGATGTCGTGAGGTGAAATTATTAGGAAATCGTCGAGCAGATGGAGAAGTTGAGGAATTGCATAATTATTGGAAAGGATCCAACATATGGCTTCAGAGAGAGTGTCAAAGATTTTTGGGCTGCTTTTGCAGCCGAAAGTTAAGCGCACGGCGAAATAATACTTTTTCTGCCAGTTTACGCCGAATAAGTGCCATGAATCGGGGTGGATTGGCATTACTTTAAAAGCAGAGGAGATATCTACTTTTGCAAGCCATGCGCCTCGTCCAGCTATTTTAATCATGGTTATGGCTTGTTCGATATCGTGATAGTTAAGAGAATACTCTTCGAGGGGGATGAGACTATTGATGCTCGGATATGGAGAATTATGGGGGGCTGAAAGGTCGATTATCAGCCGCTTTTTTCCGGAGAATTTCCTGGTAGCCACGCCTATGGGGCTGATGCGAAATTTGTCGAACGGGG